TTTCACATTTTGTTTTATTAATGTAGCCACGACATTGCTGATGAAACTTCAAAGTATTTTTTAGAACACGAATGTAAATGTATTTATGAAACGTATGCGCTAATTAATAAAAATTTTATAAATAATAAAAAAATAATAAAAAATTTCACACGAATACCGATTAAACTGCGTTAAATTCTGCGAAATTTTTAACGAACGATCATCACGAAACTCCATGATATTCGTGAGTATTCAAGAGTTTTATGTCAATGAATTCGAGCAATACATTTCTAATTTTACGGCGGAACAAATCGCTTTTTTTTTATGGAAGTTCCACTTCTACCATTCGTTCGTTGAGAACAGTTATTTCAATTGTTTTCTTATATACGTGTGCTTGAATCTAAAGTTTGTCCAATTAAAATATTTGCCAGAAGATTTTCCTCTCCTAAAATATTAAATTTTTGTTGAAAAATTAAATTAACTTTGTCAAATGTATTTCTGATAGGATGGAGATGCTTACAGGCTTGGTATTAATTCATATTAAATATCCTAATTAAACTGCTTAATGATAATGATAATGATAATGTCTAATATTGGTAGCGGCGCTTCGTATTAGGTAGAAACTATCAATAGGGGTATGCGGGTATCCGATGATCTGTTGTCTATTATCTATGTATATTCCAATTTAGATAAAACACTAATATTAAACTAAAATTCGGTTATGTTAATTCTGTAATGTTTAGTATAATATTCAAAGTCACTTTTAATATGTTGAATTTAAATTTAACTAGTATACTAAAATTATTATTAGTATATAATATTAACTATAATATATATTATAATATTATATATATTATAATTATAAATAAATTATAAAATATTATAAATAATATTATATAATTATATATATTATATGTTATAATTATATTAAAATTATATATATTATATATTATATATATATTATAATATTATAAAATTATTATTAGTATATAATATAACTACTATATTAATATAATGTATTATTATTATAATATAGTATAGTAATATATTATTATTAATATAGTAGCATATAGTAGTATAGTAGTATAATAGTATATTAATATACTAATTTAAATTTAACTAATTAGCATATTATTTTAACTGGTAACACTAAACATTAGCAGTCATAGCAATTTAGGATTTTACATCTGGAAATTTTTAATTTTAATATTTAATTCTAAAATTGGATAATATTTGAGAGTTAAATTTTCTTTTGATCATTGCTCGATAGGAGTTTTAAAGAGTTTTATAATACTAATAGTAATCTATAATCCAACGTTATTTTAACTTTCTCTTTTCTCTTGATCTATTCGCTTTTTAATTTTAATCTAAATCCAACGTTTACAATATTCGTTATTCAAGTTTTTCTCATATCATCAATTCATAAACTTTTAATTGTCATCCACTATATCCACAGAATCCGAATTCAATCTCAATTAATTCAATCCCCTCTAATTTATATTAAAGTCAAACCAAATATTCTCTAAATGAAATTCTATTCGAATTTCGTTGCACCACATAGATATATAGCTTCGAATATCATTGTTTCATGAAGCGTCGTCCTGGTTAGCGATTTCTCATTTAAAACAGACAAGTGTTTAAAAAAAAAAAAAA